TTTGCCTTAGAGCAGTATCTTCCTGGCACAGAGCAGTAACATACCCATTTTATGGTCTGGCCAGCTGAAGATCAGGTGACGTGCCTAAATTCTACAGACAAGAGCTGCAAGCCCAACAAACCCTGATTCAAGTCATTTTCTCATCCACAAAACCACTAACATTATTAATTCCTTTAATTACTAAGCTAGCAGTATAATCTAAATATTGCAACGTGAATTCTCAGCAGGTATACCACTGAAAAATAAATCGTATCAATACACTAGAGGCAAAGTCACATGGCATTCAAATGATGAAATTCTACAGGAAGATACCCACTGCTGTTGGGCTGTTCTTGACACCAAACCCTTGACCTGTTTTTGGCCAGTAACAAGAGGTGCTGATTGATTTCAGCACCCCCTAGATTGCTAGCAATTGATAGCACAGCCTTTATGTGCCCAAAGTGCTCCTAAAAGAAGAAAGCACTCGTGACACAGGTCTCAGTGTGAAGGAAACACAGGTTGGTTCTACAGATGAACAGAAGCTGCTTTGGGTATTTCAAAACAACAGAACTGACCAGGCCAAAAGCCAGTTACATGTGTGTTTTGAATAATGCCTCTAACATGGGTTTTACTATCAGACTCTTTCTACAGTATTTGCTCCCAGTTGGCAAAGGAGAAGAAATCTGAGCTCAACTTCAAGAGGACAACAGACAGACCAGGAAACAGACATTTCTTTCCCACAACACACAGAAGAACTTTGCATATATTTGACTACAGAAATTAAATAACAGTATGTAACAGGATACCAAGTTACCAGCTACAAAAAGAGAAAAAGAAAATTAAAAGGTAGTTTCAGCAGTGGCCTGCAAGTACTGACAGGAGAAAAAAAAGAACACCACAAAACCACCCTCTCCCCCTCCCAGAAAAAACCCACACGACTTACTTATCCAAAAATAAAAACACCATTTACCCTAAAATTATTTGTTGCATTATTATTCCTGTTTAGGAGAAAGTGGCTCAGCTGGCAGAACTTTCTTCAGCATAAAACTAATCCTTAGCAACAGCAGACATAAACTATATAAACAACTTTCCCAGCAAAAGGGAGAGATAGATGGAAAAAAGAGCATCAAGTCTGGAGTATTAATTCAACCCCATTCCATTCATTCAACACAGTCTTATTGTTGCTGAAGGGTGGCAAGTTTCATACAGACAAACAGTGAAATCCACTATAGATGTTAAAAAGTAGAAAAAACATTTTCCTCCTGTAAAACAAACAAGGGAAATTGAGGTGAGGTCTATAGCTAATTATTGAGGGCTTATGAAGTGAACTCTGGCAAGATATTCAGTGGATTTCCTTAGCTTAGTTTTATGGTATTCAACAATTTCTTACAGTGAGCAGATCAAAAGCCCATAAATTGCCTTTAAAACTACTTACTAATAACAGTAAGTGGAACCATGAAAAATGAAATTTTGCCTTAAAGGCTTTCCAAAAAATAACGCCCAAAGAAATACAGGGGGTTTTTTATGACTCCTCACAGAGACTGCAGAGTGCTCATCAATAAGTGTTACCAGCTCTGGAGGAACCACGGCCACTGACAACTCAAGTTGTATTTGTCAGCAATGGGCTCATGGACACTGCTACCCACGAGCCCACTCCTTCCCACAATGACAACTTAATTTCCAAAAGACCTCTAATCAAACACAGTGAGGCTCCAGACTACCAGCACTTCATCCAACTTACTTAATTAGGAGACAGCCTCCAAACCATTGTATTTCCAACCACAAATTACGAATTAGTAGACAGCTTCCCTGCGCTACTCTTTAAGAACATTTTTCCCTAAATTGCCAGATTATTTAGAACTGGCTTTCTGGCAAGAGATGGCATTCCAAGAGAGCACGAACCAGGAGAGCTAGCTGAGGAGTCAGGAGAATTACCAGCTGATGTAAAAGCCTCAGTACAAGAGAACAACACTGTCTCAACCTTACCTGGCTACCATAGCATTCCTTTTTGCTTCAGAAAGTTTGACAGCACTGTTGGAGCACGCAGCACCAACCTCACATCGGTACCATGGAAATGCAATATTCCCAATGAAAAACAAATTACTGAAATGGTAATTGCTTCATCATGCAGACAACTGGCATTATAAAGTCTGGCTCTTTCTTATTCCCAGCTCTGCTACTGTGAGTCACTTGGCCTCTACCCATGTTGGATCTGCCTTCTCAAAATAAGTCGTGAAATGCTAATGATCAAGCACCGCGGAACAAGGCATCAGAGCAGAAAGGTAGCAAGAGGAACACTTATCCAATCGAGGTCTGGCTCCTCCTGCTCACTTCCAAGAAATTTTGAAGCACTGAAGCAGAAGAGCATTGTGAAGGACACTACGGAAGCCTCACTATAACGTCAAATCCGTGATTCACATATATTGAAAGAAAAATGCTGGCTTTAAAGTCTCTAAACACCGGAGTCTAATTAAAAAGTGACCACGTGTTCTGTTTAGAATTTAAGAGTTGTCAGATTGAGTACTAACAGCTTTTAAGCAGTCTTTGAGAGCAAACATCACAAGGTGTGATAATACTGAAGCCTGTACTCTATTCTGCTACTTCAATCAGTTTCTGAGCACTGGACAGACAGACTACGTGGTCAAACTGATACAAAACCCCTAAATACCTTCTTAAATAAAAAGGGATATTAGCATGGATCATTCTGAATCTGAAGCTGACTCACCTCATGACCACGGGCAGGTTACTTGACCTCCCTGAGCAGTCAGTAATGCATCTGACACAGAGTAACAGCAACACCTGCGCGACGGAGCCACATCTCATTTCCAGTCCTGAATCACTAATCCACGTGTGCCCCAACTGCAGGGAGCCACTCACGGCCACGGAGAAGCCACTACAGGCTCCATTCAGGCTGGTCAGACACAGGAAGAGGCAACACTAAGGAGTGGGAACAGACAACTATACATTTAAATTCTAACCCTTAAGCAGTAACACCATGCAAGTGACAAGGTATCAGTCCCTCAGCTTAGCTCAAAGACAAACTCTGCTAGAGAAAGCAACTGCAGAGGCTTTTACACTATATGCACATTTCCATTTAAAATCCCTTTCATCTAGTTCTCTTTTTGCTTAGAATTCCACATTTGTACACACTGCACTCACAGACTCAGAACTGCAGTATGCATTAAAAACGTGGAACAGAGATGTGAAAGAAAGCATGGTTTTTGTGCTGATTTGTGTTGTTCAAGTTCCCTGCAATAATATCTGCTGCCACAGATTGGTAACAGTTCTGTGCTAAAGTTAAAGGCTGAACTCCCACTTACGTGCTGACCACTTATCTTGGTTCTGGAAAACCAAAAGTTGTTTCCTTTTCACATAAACCTCAGGTCATCTCAGTTCATCAACACAACTGTATCACACAACTTTAACCCCGAGCTCTTTCCCAGCACTATGCCCTCTCCCAGTGCTGTTTCATTTTCAGTTCCCAATTGCTGCTAATAAGGTTCAAGTGAGCAAAGATGAATTTCAAGTTTTATTACTTCTTTCCCAGAGTGCTTGTTCTGAGGTGCAAGTTACACACTGCTAGCTATTGTGTTTAAATCTTTCACTGTGGTCCAATAAATGTGTTATTAACTCTGCTGCTCAGCTTCTGCCAATGTTTAGAGTTTTCTGAGTGAGTCAACTGCAGAAGCTGAGATTGACCACAAATCCAATTCTGTCAAAACGTACCATGAACTAACTCTGAAATGTTACAGACAATAACACGAAGGTTGCTTGAAACTAACTACTCATTTGGAAATGTCTGCAAAGCTTCTAATATCACTAGATAATGGTGGGCATTTTGGTCAGAGGGTAACCAGCCAGGTGGATTACTTGTTCTGCAGCCACTTTCACTGTGTGGTACGTAGAGACTCCCATCTCATTAACAGATGTTTAAGTGAGATGTTGATATTCAGGTGGGTCACGGGTGGCACATACATCCTTGGTGGAGGAGGCAGTTGATGTGATAACATACAAGAGAAAGTGAAGAAAAGTGAACAGAATCCACACAAAGAAGCCTGCATTTCAAAGGAAAATACACATCAAGGAGATGGGGGGGGGGAGTGCCAGGACAGCCAAGGCAATTATTTCTTGTTGCTCTGATCAACTTACGCCAACTTATCTCCTTGATGTTTAGTGTTCAAAGCCCCTCATGACACTCCATATCTACTTTTTGTTGGTTCAATCTCACCTTACCTCATCAATCCCCACCTCCTCCACAGTGCCCGTTTGTTCAAGGCAGCCACACATCCTTCCTACTTCTCCTTTATCAGTCAGAGCAAGGCTTGCTGTTGTGTGTTGAGCCCGTTCTCAACTGCCTTGTGGTTGGCTTCAGGTTCCTTCCCTTTCCCCCTCCCTCTGCAGGACCCAGTTTAAAGCATCCTGACTGGTTTGTGCACTGTAATTCCCACCAAGGCTCTGTGCACTGAGATGCCCAGGCTGCCCTGCCACACACATCACACATCTGAGTGTGTAAGGCCACAGCCGTCTCCTCTTCCTGATTTCTCAGGAATTTCTCATCCCACCTCTTCACGATGCTGACCAGCAATTAGGCTGAAGAGCAAACAGAAACAGTTGACAGAGCGTAATTACAAATTCAAGTGTTCAAAAATGAGTCAGAACTGCTATCCCCGCACTGGAGGGCGAAAAGCAGCTGCTCAGGCTCACGTACTGCCTTCCATCACACACAGGGTCCCTCCCCCTGGCTCCCCAGACAAAACACCAGTGTCACTGGGACGCCAGAACTACAAAAAGCTGTGTTTTATTAGCTTTCAGTAGCCACATAACCACCCCCACCCCCCTTGGAGTTTCTTGTGCCAGCACCAGGCTGCTCTAAATCAGCAGAGGTGAGAAATACTCAGAATACTTAAAAATTACTGCTGCTGGACAGACGACTTCTCCACACTTCATCTCACTGCTTTGGTATCATACGCATATATAGAAGGGGATGGCTGGGTTTAGCAAACACATGACAAGCAACTTACTGTTCTCCTCAGAGCTTGTTAAGAACCTTTTCCCTCCTCAAAGGCCACGTTTCCCTCCTCCAGGGCAGCAGGGAAAGCTGTGCTGTTGTGACTGCCTGACTTCCAGCTCTTGTACCACAGGAACAGCAATTACAGGTGTTAACTAGGGCAGGAGAACCACACCATGGAGACCTCAGAAGAGCACCATACTCGGTTTTCATCTCAAGGTCAAACATGTTTTTAAAAGGCTTATGCAACATTAAGACACTTTAAGAGAGAGATTTTAAATTTAGCATTTGTTTGTCATTCCAAGGGGAGAGCTATTACTGTTTGTACTTAAACTTTTAGCTTGGAAAGAGGAAATAGGGTAGTCCTTGCTCATAAGGGAAGCTATTACTTGGTGTGATGCTTGACAAGTACCAGAGGAGATGTAAAAACTAAACAGAATCTGCGGGAGGGGGAATTAAAAGAAATTTTACATTTTTAAAGAGATGCTTATGGGTTCAAAGATTTACTTACTCATTTTTAAAAGTTAGAATTACTTGACAATGCAAAAAAAAAAAAAAATCAAACAGGACTGACTTATGCCACAGCATCCTGACACACAAGTTTTTTTCAGCCTTTGAAGTGTTGTTCGGTACTTTGTGCTGGTTTAAAGTGCAAAACTAGTCGTAACCAAGACCTTGTTTAACTAAGTTACTGCAGTTATGGTTTCAACAAGGTACCTACAAACTTTCAGGCAAGTGGCCCTGTCCCACTGTTAACAAACTAAGACACAAGTAGAACTAGATGCTACTTAACAAAGGTGGGAGCAAGGTAAACATTAAAAAAAGAAAAAAAGCCCCGGGAAAGTCTTTAAAAAGCAGCCTTTTAAGTGGTTGTCCAATAACCCCAAGGCAAAGAAAGTTAAAGTACTGGAACTGAGGAAATAGTTAAAAAATTACAAGTCTGCCCAGGCTGCCTTTTTTCCCTTTTTAAAAAGGAACAAGTAGCACAGTTAAGTTTTATATTCCCCTCGGATGGCTGCGTGGCTCAGAGCCACATCTGCAACCCATTAGACGTCAGGAGCTCAAGGGGAACCCGGGACAGATACACAGCGAGCAACTTGAACTTTCTTTCCACATAAAAACCGAGATTCCCACCCATGGAATACACCACCAAAAAACGAAAGAAACAACAACAAAAAAAAAAACCCAGAGAAGAGCAACCCCGGGGCAGTTACACCCGTCGTTATTCCAAGGGGGTTTCTTTCCTCCAACAGCTCACACGACTTGAAAAAGCGTTACGGGGAAAAAAAAAAAAAAGAGAGAGAGAAGCAAAAAAAGGCACTTTGTTTTACAAAAGTCCCGGGGAAAGACCAAGCGGTCCGGAGCTTTCCACCGGGAATCTCCATCCGCTGGGTCAGGGCAGAGCAGCGGCGGGGCTGGACCAGGAGAAGCACCAGGATCAGGACTAGGGGTAGTGCTAGGACAAGGAGCAAGACTCGGAGCAG